TATTTCTTTATAAGCAAAGATGGATGAATTAAGGCTATATCGTGGCAATACGTACGGTATATACATATGCCAATCAGAGACTGATCAATTGCAGTCCTAAAAATCAATGGGAAGATTCAAATAAACAATACCAAGTAAATCTATTTCTTTGGCAATATTATTTTTGTGCTATTGAAATGTGTTTAAACTCCTTCAATAGATGAATATGTCTTTGTGTAATATGCATTGTTAATTGAAATGTAATTTCATAAAATACAGTGGCCAATAATACAAGGGATATCACAATTGAAGTTTATATCCTGACTGCATAGAACCAGCATCGCATAGTCGTAAACATTAAGAGAGACCAATATTATTCTATATACAAATTACTGAATAGTGACGAGTAGTGTCTCAAGACGCCTAACGTTTTTACATAATACATGGTATGTCTTCTGGAACGTGATGTATGTAATTCGATCACTAGTAAACGTTTAGCAAACACAGCATTGATTACTTCGCACTAATTAACCACTTTGGTATCATACATTAAAACAATCGGTTTAAAATTGATTTAACCTACTTTATATATATAAAATAGTCATAAACTGGTGAGAATAATGCTTATTAATCAAATAGTGTTAATGAAGTTCTTACAAAGATTTCGATTCAATACTTTACAAACCTTTAAACTATTTTGTTAGTTTGACATATTAGTACCTTTTGATGACAGCGCAAACTCTAACTCTATTTATACATAGTTTTGCAGAACTATCAACAAATGACCATTATTATAATTAAGAGATAAATAACATAATAGTTACTCCTAATTGGAATTTGCTGAGGTAGTTGTATTTTATGGTTTCCATCACGAAGTTGTTTGATTGACACGACCATCTAAAACCAGGTGGCAGTGGATAACTATTCCATTCTAATATCAGACCCCATAGCAAATCCCGTCAGATACCAAACAGAGGACCTTTGAGGCTAGCATCAAACTCTAAACCTGTAGACTGCTTAGAAGGAATCTCCCGGCTTTTATGTTTGATTTAAATCATCCCATTTGGTAGCTGTCTTCCAGTGTCAATGGCGGGTAATTGCCTTAAATTCGACGTAAATAAAATCGACTGCTAACGACTTCCCATTATAACTTTGTGAACTACTCCTCGCATTTAGTTATCAGTCAACAGGCGATTATAAATTAATCCAAGGTTTTGTGAAGATTTTTTTAGGGAAAAACTGTTTGTAGATTACCTTTATTCGTTGAGGTGAAACCTAATAAGTAGTTGAAATTGACAATGAAAATGATAATTTACGAATATATAATTAAATGAAAGTTTATTCTACTGAGGGAGGGGGACGGGAGTTGAGATGTTTTAAAAATATTTTTTGTCAAAATCCCATCGCAAAGACTAAGGGTTTTGAATGCACAGTGATGAGGATTCCCATTCTAGGATGAAAAATTGTCCTGTATTTCATAGTCTCAAATGGTTGCTAAACTAAGACCACACTATTCTGAGAAGAGAGCGAAGCGAAATGACGTGCAGTGTAGATGGTGTGTGAGCCATATCAATTTAGTCAAGCGATAATCGATAATTATAGCTGAACAAAAATCACTTACAGACATGTGATGAATACGATAAGAAGTGTGCACACACATACGCTTATATAAAAGCAGTCAAGGTTGATGAGCGAACAATTAACAAGGTCAAAATTTGACTAAGATGAATGAATAGACTGGCCTGTCCGGAAGCCAGAATAAACTATGTGGGTCCAACATGGCGACTGACACTACAGTATGTTTGGATTTGTACTTAAAGTGTTGAGAAAACAAATGAAATCGAATGACCCATCGAGAATAGATGATACATATTCATTGTCCTCTTTTGTCAAAAATATAGTTCAATCAGGTCATTAGATCGGTCTTATCACGACTTTTGTAGTGTTGTGAATAGTGATCAAGAACGTATACTAAATTTTATTGAAGCCTTAACAATACGAAAATTGACACCTCTTGTATTTTTTTATATAGTTGAGATCATGAGTCAATTGAAGATAGACCACCATGGAAAACCTGAAAGCACTGTACGGCCGTTTAGTCCTATTGTGTGACTTCTCAGCAGTGCACATCCACGATCCCATCTCGCGAGATTCAAAACCAGTACCTATCAGTCTCGCGCGCGAGCACTTAACCTCTAGACCAATGAGCCAGCATCCAATGGTGTTAATGTCTAACTTCAATCAATCCACGAAACTGAGCAACCATTAACCAGTGTCTTCACTAAGTTGATATCTCCCAACAGACCTGTTTGAACTCCTTGTATTTGTTCGAAAACAGATTGTTGTCATGCTTAATCTACCCTGGTAATACTGTTTTATTATCCAGAGTGGTAAGTATCACATTATTTTTAACACTTTTTTTCAAAAAAAATCATCTTTGTTTCCTCTTACCATTTATTTGTCTATTTAACTATTTAATATTTTATATATAAACATTCTTAGCAGGTATACATGTGATTTGTTTATACGAAATATATTTCATTATTACATCACAACTGTCTCATAACCGAAAAGGTATGTACATTGACAACAAGCAAAAATATAAATTAAAAAAATTATAAAACAGGTTGTAAAATTCTCATTCTATGACATAATCACAACAGAAATTTAACATTATAAAAAGGATTCTTATCTATCTCATTTCAACCTCGTGATTTTATGTTGTATAGTTTATGCATAATTCACGGATAATAAATAAGTTATCGACTTACATCTTTGTAATAGATTATTCCATTTATTAAAAAAAAATAGAATCATAAATTGCTAATCTTTTTTTCTAATAAATTGATATACTACTTCCTGAACTAATAAAATATCATATTCATCTATGTGTATTTAGTGATTGTAACAGCAATGATAGTGACAATCAACAAAAAAGAAACAAGCATATTTTTTACTCACTAATGCTGATGCCAAAATGAAATATGAAAGATAATCAATTTAATGTTATGTTCTATGGTTTAAATAATAAAATAAAATTTATGGCAAGTTTTTAACTAATTAAAGTTTTTTAAATCATGAGTCAATTGAAGCTAGACCACCATGGAAAACCTGGAAACACTGGATGGCCGTTTCGTCCTATTATGGGACTCCTCATCCTGGGTTCGAATCTCACGCGAGCGGGTTCGTGGATGTGCACTGCTGAGGAGTCCCATAATAGGACGAAACGGCCATCCAGTGTTTCCAGGTTTTCCATGGTGGTCTAGCTTCAATTGACTAATGCTTTAAAAAACTATGAAAAATACTAAATCTCCACAAAACCCCCTCTGATAATTAAAAATAATTAAAGGTTTATATTTAGTTACTTAATTACGCATAAGTAGCTAATTTCTTTATATATAAATATTTCATGGTAAGCAAAGATGGATAGTGGCTAGCAGTTGATACCAGGATGCGACTTTCGTCTCATTTGAAACTCGTCAGCTGGATGTACCTGCATCACAAGGCTGATGTTCACTTTGGGACTCGAACCCAGTACTTTTCGCTTCAAACGCCATAGCGTTATCCCCTAAGCTACTGAGTTCTGATAACCACTTGCGTGTGCAATTAGGTGATGCTTAGAGACTGACCAGTTGCACATCTTAACATCAATGGGAAGATTCAAACAAACAATAGCGGGTGAATTTAAATATTTCATGGCTTATTTCATATGAATCTTTTATTTATGTATGAAATTTCATTGTCTTGATTAGGATAACGAGTGAAACCGTTTTTAAAGATAGAACTTATTGATTCTATATAGCATATATAATGAAATATATGTCTATCTAACATAATTTTCTTACTGAAACAAATACAGTGATGCTTGACTATGTTATATTTGATGAAATGACCTGTCACGTGAAAGAACATAACAGAATTAGTAACAACTTTGAATATTGATCATCAAAAAAGATGAAAAGAGTTATTACTCAAATGTGATCGGTAATTGAGCATATTGGGTATTCACGGTATAAATGTAGAGTTATTTCGAAGTAATGAAATCCATAATCATTGCTTTCTATAATCATAACGAACATACGAGTTCGGCTTATGCCGATTATCCGAAAAGAATAAGAATTCTTTTGCCTAGTGATGTATCTTTGGATGCAAGGAGTGGAATTATAATTGGAAGGTCTTTGAATTCGTTGTTCGTTACATAAAAGAGAAATTTTTACAACTTATTACAATTGTACTTGAAAATATGTGAGATCAATTACTAAAGTGGCAAGGTTTTAATATTCAGTTCAGGTTTATTTTTAAAACTAATCTTTCTAGAGGGAAAAGTTTACCATTATTTTTAGTGAATGAAATATTTTTTCTGAGAAAATTCCAATAAAATTTTCTAATAATCTAAATACTGATCAAGTAGGATGTGCATAATTACTACTGTTTCAGCAACGATATGATTTAATATAACCATGAATGTTTGCATGTATAGAAAAAAGTACTTTTTCGTTTTTCATCATTTGAAGTAGAATAACAATCGTCGTCAGCATCAGAAACGGAAATGGCTGATGACGGACGAAGAAATGACTGTTGAATAAAATAATAAGAATCACCTTATTGTGATTCTCGATAATTAATTCTAACCAACAATTTAAGTCATATAAAAATTTAATACAGCACCAAAACCATATATGTTCGTTCATACTTTTTATCCAATGCATAAAATACTATTTATAGCTTCAGCAAAAAAATCATTTGATATAAAGTTTGTAGTTATCATTGCTAAGGTTTGACTTGCTAATTTCAAATAATTTGAGTATTCGGTAGATTGTTATAAATAAAAATAATACATTTGTAATATCACAATGAGTAGAAAAATTAGATTTTCTGACGTTTCGTGGCTCAATGTAAGCCACTTCTTCAGGGAAGCTTGCAAATACGATCAACATACAACAACATCAAAACTATATATATATATATATATATATATATATATATATTCACATTACCAATCAACAGAATAAAAAACTAACTTAGTCGGATTTCCTTCTTTGCTCGTACTAAGTATTCTTGATTGCAATTGGTTGTATTAAAAGCTTCAGAAATTATATCAGATTGATGAAAACATATTGAGGTAGCGAAACATTTCTTCATTTCGATGGATATTGTTAAGTAAATAATCATAATAACTGATAAACGTTCTTTCAACATCATTTCAAGCAGTCCGATACAATTTGTCCATGTAATGTTTCATTAATTCATATGGATTATTAACACCTGTTAAAGAATAAAAAGTATGAAGTTGTATTATCAAATAGTGAAATTTAGTTTGTGAAACAAAAATTTTTAGAATGTGGATTCGTGGAGATTGTAGTAATTTGAATAGTTGAATTTATGAGTCGATCTAAGCTAGACCACCATTGGAAACCTGGAAGCACTGATCTTTTCGTCCTAGTGTGTGATGGTTAATGCTAGACATGAACAGAGTTAGTTGCCGACTCAGTGTTGTACAGATTTAGCGTTCAGCCACGAGACCGAAGATCCTGAGCTCGAGTCTCGTGTGCAATATCGTTAGTACATACTGCTGAGAAGTTCTATACAAGGACTAAATGGTCGTCCAGTTCTTCCAGGTTTTCAATGGTGGTCTAGCTTAGATCGATTCATGAATTATACCATTAAAATTAAATATTTTTTAATCAGTTAAAATCTTAAAATACGTGAATTTGAATAATACTTAAAAGATTTAATGTTTTCATCATCATATAAATGTATTACTTTAATGATTTCAAAGTTTATCCTTTTGTTTTATCTTTATCATTTTTTAACTTTTCAGTTGAAAAGTAAAAGTTATAGAGAAGCTGAATGTACTTCTTTTTTTATTTCAAGAGGTGAAAAACTAGAATAAAGTGTTCAGTTAGCAGCTTTTTACTTTAAAACTACTGTAGCTATATTTAGTATAGTACAAGTAAGTTGTTTCCTTCAGTAAATTCAGAAAAACTGTCGGCAGAAATAAAATATATGAATATATTTGAAGTTTCATTGTTATATAACAATCATTTAAACTCTTATTATCATTTAGAAGAATATTGTTAGATGTAAAGCTCTGAGAAAATATTAAGATGTACTAAACACGTGAAAATATTCAATAAACTTAATTTTCTGCTAAATAGGCTGTCAACAGTATGAAGAGAACGATACAATCATCCACTTTGGGTTGAATATCATTTCGATGCATTTTACGAACACATCTTACCAATGATATAGACAAAATTATTGAATATAATTGAAAAATATAATAAAGTAGGTCATCACATCTTAAATATAGGTGTCTCAGCATATTAATTCTGATAATAGTAATGATGATCTACATTTTCGGAAACTAGAAAACTTTAGTAACATTCTATTGGTGTTAAGTTTCATAAATCTCCTTTTTTTTCTTTTTACAATGAATTCAATTCGATCAACCTTTCCTCAATTGTTTGTGCAATACAAATAGGTGTAACACTTTTAAAATATCAATCTTTTTGACAGTACTCAAGTATTCTGGTTCATTTACCTGTTATTTCAAAGGGGTCCATAATCAGTTTAATAAAACATTATTAACAATACTTTATTAGCCTGTTTTATTTCATTAAATAATAATCCGTCACTCTATTGTTCAACAATCAAACAATAAAACTTATTTCAAATCAATAAACTTCATAGTCACTATGTGAATAAATGAATACATAGATATGGAAATGCAAAACCTTTATTATTTGAGTATATCCCGATCACTATTAAAAAAAATCAATTATTATAAATAGGTAATTTTTTTCCAAAATAATCAAACAAATTGATATATAACAATAGCGTTAGTAACATAGCAATCGTTTATTACGTCATCAATAAAAAAAGAATCCAACAAAAAAAATTTGTTTCACTTGACTTCTTTTCTCTTATATCTTAAATTCCCTATTTAAATTAATGAACTGAACAAAAATGTCTTTTTTTTGTTGTTGTGATTTTACTGTTTACATTTAGTTTACCTGCATTCTTATATTTTTGATTGTATAGTTTTACCTAATTTTTATGGTTGTCTTGACAACTGGAAATAATATACATCAATGTAAAAAAAAACTTTAAAAAAACCGATTTCTTTACTGTTGAGTGAAAAAATAGTGCTTTTTTGAAATGAGAAACAAAAACAACGAAAATTATATATATATATATGCATGCCAAATTATGGGTGTTGAAATATAATATAACGATATTATGTGTATTGCCATTTATCTTTAGATTTATGGGTTATGTAAGTAAATAGAGTGTATATGAGTATATATAACTTAAGTGAAACAAATTACCTATTCAATCAATAAATGATTTCTCAGATAAATTATATTTCATGTTATTGATTTTGTAATTAATGCATAAATGGGGTAAAAATTATATCCACTTTAGTATATATATATATATATATATATATATATATAGTTCATACATATTTAATGGTGTAAGCTAATGAAAAAGAATAAAATCCAGAGGTAAAAAAGTAAAGATAGTTTTGGAAGTGATTTGTTTATTAGGAGTAATGAGCTGTGTCTTGTTCACTAATGTTTAGATTTTTAATTAAATACAGTTATGAAAAGTGAATAAGGTCTTTTGATTTAAATAAAAAAGGTAGATTTAGACGTTTCAGTAAAGAAAACTTTTTTTCAACGATATCGTTTTTTTTTTGATGCTGTACAATCGTATTCATCCGTAACTTATCACATAGTGTATTTTATAGTAAAATAGAATTTTTTTCGAAATTATCAAATGTGTCCAAGTAGAAGTTATTGATAATAAGTTAGTGCGCTTATCAGTTTTCATAAAATCGGTTTAAATTTCATTATATAACGAGAGCAAATTGACTGATAATACAAACATGAAAACACTACTTGCTTTCATTTCCCTGTTCAAATATATCACTAAATTACAACTATTATTATTGTAAACCTTGGTACTATCACATGTTCTATCAACTTAACTCCGCATGTAGCTATTCTAGGGCTACTGCCGGTCCCAAGCCTGAGTAAAGGAGGAGTGTTTGGTGTGGTGTTGACAATCCCATCTCATAGAAAACAACCTTGCTGAAAAAAACGTTAACCAGAATACATATAATTACGACGTGAGCACATATGAGTGATTATTCTTATAGAGCATTTATACCAGCCTAATTGAAGTTTTCTGTAGATGGAATTAACAACTGCAAAAAAGTGATCATGAAAATTTTAGTATTTATTTAAACGTTACTCACATTTAAGAGATAGTAGTGAGATATAGTCATACAGTCAAAACTTATTTTTTTAAAATAATAACATAATAATTTTAAATGATCATAAAATAATAAAAATGTAATATAATACACTCTATATAATTATTATTTTAATGATCGATGAAAGATAACTGTAACAGCGTCTGTTACAGATCTATTACTGTTACCAAGTTCATCCACTTTGAACAACACGAATCAAATAAAAGTAGTATAACTGTATGTAATATTCAGCTTCATATCTCTCAATACTGAATTGCAATTAAACTACAGTAATTACTCAAAGTTTTATAAAAATGAACTTCTTTAATATGCTGTATATATAAATTATTGATTTACTAGTTTAATCAGTCTCTATCCTTATTTATTATGTTTAATAAATTCTAACTGGACACTGTCATTCATTGTTTAAATACAATAATGATGTTTCGTAGTCTGCTCACATTTAAGGAGAATGTTTTCTAGATATGGTTATGGATTCTCGATTGGTATAATTACTGTTTACTAATAAAATGTAATTGTCCCGTATTTGTTTGCTATCGCATTTTAAGAGAGTAAAGTGCGAAATCAAAAATTACGAATTTGTTCGCACTTAATTCACTTTGTTGTATTTAGAATCTATGAAGCTCATTAACAGTAAATATTTTATTATTCTTCAGAGAAATTTATCTTTGAAACTTGATCGCTTTCAAATTTGTTTCCCTAACTTAAAGATATCATATGTTCAGTTGATGCAACTTGTTAGCGGTGAGATTATCCATCATTTTTAGACCGTCAAGTCACTTCAAGTCTGAGGAGAATTTAAGAAACATTTGTGATTACCCTTATTACTTGTTCTCTTTTATAGACCATATGGTTACATATAATTTCTTCCGTTAGATCTAGCGAATTCTATGATAATAAATAATGTACTTCAATAAATTATGCTTTCGATTATGTAAATTCGCAATATCATTTGTTTACTTTACCTTTAAAAAGTAAGCAAGCAAAAATGAATAAACCTATAAATAAATTTAACATCCATCATCGTCTATTTCCAAACATATCATTGAAACAGGTCATAAGATTGATCTTAAGTTGACTTTTGTGATGCTGTATAAAAGTGTAAAAGGGTGTATACTAAGGTTTATTGAAGCCTTAGCCATAAGAAAATTCAAACCCCCTTTGTCCATTCGAAAACAGTTTGTTCTCACCTTAAACCTACCCTGGTAATATTAGCTTATTAGCATAGTGGTTAGGTTTCAAATGGTTTTCACTTTATTATTATTATTGTCTACTCTTGCCCCTCCCCATTTCCAGTCTAGTTGACCTCTTATTCTCATATATAAATGTTCTTAACAAGTATATGTGTGATCAGATTGTTCGTAATGTATTGACCTAACACATTACATAGTTCTGATAATCTTTGTCTTCTTATTACACTATCAAAATTTATCAAAAGGACCAATTGCTTTAAATTTAATTGTCCTTAATATTTGACAATAAAGAAATTATCTCTGGAAGATAATGTATATCGATATGTAGCATTGTAATGGGGAAAAAGAAGAGCATATGCATTAAAGAATGCCAAAAAAATTATCGGTCCAATATGCGTATGTTATTTGAAGCAATACAATGGTCCTTTTCAATAAATAGATAATAACATTTCTTATCTATATATTTTATCAATTGTCTATGTGTTCCGTTTAAATGTTATCTTCCTATTCCTTCTTCGTGTCGTACTTTGCTTTTTTTATACATAATCTGTACTTGAAGTTTTCATCAAAAAACAAAATTACTCAAAAAATGATGTTTATACCTACATGAACACTTCGACAAATCAGTAACTGTGAGAACATTTTTAGTAGAAGTACCAACTGTAAACGTGTATTGATTAGTATACTCTCTAATACTAAATAATAACTAGACCAGTAGTAAATCTTTCAATTGAAGAATACTTATGTAGAATTAAAGAAATGTAAGTAGAATAGAGGTTGAACAAAAT